GACAGCCGTTTCTCTCCTTCATCTTTGTGAGCTTATGTGGTTTGTGAGATTATGTGAGGCATCCATGTTAGAGTTACCTTCTTTATCTTTGTGAGCCTCTTTTGTGAGTGTAGTGAAGTAATCGACTCTTTCTTCGATTCTCTTTGAGAGTGCCACCTTCACTATTTTCTTTGTGAATTTTTTTGGGAGCATTGGTGAGTGGATTAACCTTTGTGGTCACCTAAAGGTGTTGTTTTGTCATAGTAAGTTTGTGATGCATAGCAGTGAGTTAGATGTCTTTTGGTAAGGTAGAGTATAGATGCCTAGATGTGCATTGGTGATATGCAAGGGGATGTAGAGTGTGACATTGGGATCACGAGTGGAGATGTGATCAAATGTGTAGAATCCTTTATCTGTGAAAGAGACCTTGTACAGGTGGAGTGTGAGAGAGACACTTCTATCACTTCTGTAAGGTGGAATCCCATTATCCATGTAGGTTGGGAGAAGTGATGTGGTGATAGAGGATTATCCTGAGAGTTTAGGATCTATTGTAACTTGCCAGTTAGACATGAGTTAAGTGATTGGTTTAGTGAGCATGGTGGGCGATGAGAGGAGATATGTGTTCTCGAGGTGGGAGTAACACGGAATGAGATATGATAAGTGTGGTGAGATTTTTCATGGGGTCATTTATGCATTTGTTGCATATGTGCATGACCGTGTGTTGATTAACTAGGTGTTAATATGTGGTTCTGTGTGAACGTGGTTTTGAAAAGATTTCTGTGTGTGTTATCGTATATATATCTTCATTGCATGATTGTTTGTTCACTGTGAATACTTGTTTCTACTTGGGTGTTCTTGACCTTAGCCTTGGTGAGTATATGGAGCAAGTATGGTATGTGTTTCGGTTCGAAACACGAGGTAAGGTCTGTGATTCCAATTTTATTGGATTGCCTTGATTGTGCAAGTATAAACTGTGTGTTTTGGTTGCTTGCAGATTATTGGGCATCAAGGTGGAGATTGTTGGGTTTTTTATACCCAATAATCCGGGCGATAATTTAAAACAGTTGTTGGATTATTTATCGACATCATGGACTCGACTCGACTTAGAGACGAACTACACTTTTGGATGGCTCGGGTTTGGGTTGGATGATTATTTGGTTAGTTGGACTATTTAGTGATTAATATAGAGTTGAATATTGGCCCATTAGTTTTGGTGGTGTGTGTGTGTTGTAGCAATGGAGGGGAGAGTTGAGAGAAGAGAGGCAGCCGAGAGAGAGGGAAGCCATGTGAGGTTGTGAGTGAGATTCAACCATTGTGATATCTTCTTCTTCCTCTCCATACCTTTGTAGATTGCTAACACCACCACCCTTCTCCTTTGTGGGGTTTGAGAGTGTTTGGGCAGTCTCAAGTGAAGGCGAAAGTCTCGGGTCAAGTCGAGGTAAACCGGTGTTTGTTTGATTGTTTTCTGAGCCCGGAATCAAGATTTATCGAGGGATTTTCGCTACAATTTGATCAAAATCAAATTAAAGTGTAGTTATCCGATTAAACAAAATTGAAGTACAATTATCTGGTTGAAATAGAGTGAAATTATTCACCGCGAATGGAATTTACCCTTAAAAACATTCTTTTCCATTTTTCCATTAAATGAAAATATGTAATACAATTTTACTAAATTCTAAATACCTTAAACTCCATTCTACTTTTCCTTTGCTTTTTCCTTTTTTCTGCTCCCTATAACGTCAACTCCATTCTATTTCTACCTCTTTTTCTTGTCAAAACTTGTTAAAAAATTTAGAATTACACGAGGCTGGCAAAGACTCTTAATTTTCTACTTTTGGCTTTCAAAATGTTTAAGAATTTTCTATTTTTTAATATTGCTTATGTCATGGGACAAGTAGATTATTTTATTAAATAATTATATTAATATTATATGTTCTCACTTCTCACCTCTTGTTTATCATTATACACATACAAAAATTATAAGTAGAACTGTGTAATCATTTTTGTAAGTTCTAAGTCGATCCAACTATTATTCATAAAAAAATATATTGTAAAATTCTTCATCTTTAAACATAGTAATAATTTTGAATTATAAAAAAAAAGGTAGATAAAAAAAATTGAAAAAAAAAAAACCATGAAGGAATGTTACTATCGTTATCCCTTGTTGCTTTGGTCTTCTTAAGAAATTTCCAGGATAAACATCATAACGGGACAAACTAAACTCAGCCCATTGGGCCTAATGGCCTTTCGAGCACCTATTTAAAGTCCAATGAATTGAACGGAGTTGTAAAAGGAATGCCGACCCTTAATTAAGAACTTGATGATCAATCACGATTCACATGTGAAACCTCGACAATGATCTACTTCTCCCCGTCCGAAACATAGTTAATCTCGTCAGAGGCGGGCCCAGACAATTCGGGTTAAGGGGTCAAAAATAAAATTGATAGTGTATCTTCTAATAAAAAAAAGCTAAAAAAAAAAAAAATCTAAACAAATTTTTTCTTTTTTTCCAAAATCTAGAGGATCAATTGACCCTATAATCCCCCCTCCCCCCAGGTCCGCCCCTGATGATTGTCATAGTTACATTTTTCGTGACTTAAAGGATTTATCATATTTGTTGTCTTCTTTTTATTTTTCTGTTGTTTTTGCTATTGTGATACCAATAGTTCATCTGTTAAACCCCTTCGAATATCTCTAGAGAATAACCAGCTTTTCGAAACTCAATCCCTATTGATGTTGTGGTTAGGCCAATGAAGGAATCAAACCCTTTCAAACTCCGAGGCTGCAATATTAACAACACGATATCAAATATTTTGCCTTAAATTGATACACGTCCAAGGCTTGCGAAATTGAGCAATACCATTTTCCTTCAATGATATTAGGCAAATAAAACAAATTTCATTTTTCATCTTCCTTAGAGTTCACAATTACTTCGAGCAAAACTTCTGAACTTCACATTTGTTTATAATGTTAATTACCATTTAGTGTTAACTGCATTACTAAACTTAACATTCGAATTCTACGGGAACATAAAAAATTAACGCCATGAAAATGAGTCATGTTTCTAGGTAAATGTGAAACCTAATCAAGTCGTGTCTATAAAATTTGAAAAATCGTAGTCTACTAAATCATAATGAGGTGGCATATATTGTCAAATTTTGCAAGCCATGACTTGATCGGGGACTCAAAATTCAGTTTCTGAAGTTTGGGGACTAAACATGCAGCCTTTCTAATTTAATAATGGAATAATTGCAGCAGAGGTCCCAAATCTTTTAAATACTTGTAGACATTTCTCTAACTTCAATCATTGCAGCCGTCACCCAACATTTCCAATCGTAGTGACGGAAACCTAAATGGATGAATTCCTTCCATTTTTTTTGTCAATTGACCCAAAATTTAAGTTTGCCCATATTTTATTTAATTTTAAAAGGGAAGAATGATAGCTGTCTATTAAATTGAAACATCTTCTCACCAATATCTGTCGGCACCACATCGAAATCACTTTACATTCCTTTTTGTTCAAAGATTTTGAGTTTGATCAAGAAACATGTTATCAGTAGCTTTTATTGAAACTCAAAATTTAGAGCTTTCTTCTTTAGTTTCACCTCAAAAACCATGGATCCAATGTTCTAAAAAAATCTATGTTTTCATTTCAAAATTGCTCCAAATCCCCATTTCAAATCATTGTCCCCTCCACACTTAGCCCCTGTTTGGCCCCCTTTAAAACTCTTCATTTAATTTAATTTTTTCTCTCTCCTACTTACAATCACACAATTTTCAATAAAATAATATTACACTTAAATTGAAAACTTTTCAACCACACAATTTTCAAAAAATACTATTCTTCTCATTATAAATTCAAATAATGGGGGACCAAAAGAGGACTTATTGTTTTGAGAATATTGCACAATTTCTAGACAGACCATGTCTTATTGTACAAAATGATGGCAAAACGTAATCTTTTTCAGAAACCCACCTTGTATGTTGAAAAATCGCTGCCAAAACAAAATTACTCAAAACTCGTAGGAGATTTCACTGTAATCACCATTGATGACCCATTGAATGTTACTCGAAACCGTATAGCCTAATGCCAAATAGTTTGTTTTACTAGCTAAACATGGAAAAAAAACTTGCTTACGTGAGGAAATGTATGCATTAGAGGAATTTCAGCTACATATTGTCGTGAATTACCCGCTTCACTAATAATTGGCACCGCAACAGAGCAACAATAAACCATAAATTTTATAGAACTGCAATTAATTGCAGAAGAAGACGATGTCAAGAAAGATGGAATTGAAGTCGAAATGCATTATAGGAAAATCGTTGGTAACACGACCATTTCTCAAATTTGTTTTATTTTTGAGTGTTTTTGTGCGAGAGAGAATGATTAGTAGGCGCTACCATATATGAGTGAGGTGAGTAGCAAGCTCTGAATTTCTCCATTACTTGGAAGAAATTCATGGTCACAGTGACGTAATAATAGCGGTGGTGGTGATCGATAGTAGTGGCAGGTTTATTATTTCTAGTTTTAAGTTGTGGGTTGGTGGGTTGGGGAGTGAGGAAGAAGAATATATGTTTATTTTATTTTATTTTGTTCTTTTTTGAATTTTTGATTTAAGTTTTGTGAAAATATAAATTTATCATTTGTCCTTTTAAAATATGGTAAAACTTAATTTTTTGGTCAATTGAAGGAAAAATGGATGGAATTCATCCATTTGGGCATCAACTGCTATGGTTTGAAAGGTGAGAGGTGACGAATGTAATGATCGAAAGGTTAGGGAAACGTTTATCCCTTTACTAATTTCCAAGCCCCCGCGTCATTTGTGTAAAGTCGTTGACTATTTCTATAACCCTAACCGCCGTTGGTTTCAAATTCAATGCGATATCAGTGCAATTTGAGTGAATTGTCCGTGAGGAAAGCCGGACCCATCCCCTTCTGGAAACACGGACTGACGCCACGTGTATATCCGTAAAAATAGATGACCTGTACATGTAAACTTTAGCCTCCGTTCTCATCCATTTCACATTCTTTGTCTCTCTCATTCTACAGTCGCTTTCTGAAAAGAACCTATACATACAGATCGATACAAATATAGTGTACGCAGCAATCCAGTCGGAAGACACATACTCGAGTGTTGAAGATCGGGTTCTCGATTGCTTCTCTACTCTTTCTCTCCTCTCTTGGCTCGAGATCCGAGCCAAGAAAAGAGGAACTTTTTGCAATCCACACAGGTAATCCGGAAATATTTTGAAAATTTAAATGATGTAAACATGTATAATCTTCTGAATACAAGGTGAAATGAGGCTTTGTTTTGTCAAATTGATGCTGAAGTTTTAGGATTATCGTACTTATGCTCTTGTTTATTTGTTTGATTATTTTTCGGTAGGGTTTGGTTAGGGTGCGGAATGGCGAGCAGCGAGGGGTTTCTGACGGAGGAGCAGAAGGAGATGCTGAATATAGCGGTCCAGAATGCGGAGGTGATGTCGTCGCTGTCGTTATCTACATCACCGAAATCTCTCGGTCCAAAGTCTCCCACTCAGACTTCTTCTCTGCCGTCGGAACACCATCACGTGAAGGCCCCGGGAGGGGGGAAGTCGGCCACTGCTGGTGGCCTTGCGGTTAGGCATGTGCGGCGGACGCACTCTGGGAAATACATTAGAGTTAAGAAGGGTACGATAAAAAAAAAGAAAAAAAGTATTGTTTGATCTTCTTGCTTTGGATCGGCCACTAGTTTTAGCAATAAAAAGGACCAACTAATAACAAAGGATTCGTGCAGTAGATCTAAATTCATAACCAGGATTAAAAACCATATCTTGTATATCATCTAGGTAAGTTTATTATCTACTTTGTAAAGATTTGGAGTTCGTTCTTAAAATGCCAACTTTATTAAAAGAAGGGGTACAACCCTTATAAATTGGTTTATGTTTTCATTTTTAATTGATGTAGGATTTTATACTTTTAACATGTCTCCACAAGATGGTGATTCATTTGAACAGACCAATCTTGAAATTCGTATGTTCATTTTTTAGTTTTGATCGGATCGGATCGGATCGAATCGTTCATTAGAGTTTAATGAGCTCTAATACCATGTTAAGATTTAAAGTTCTATTTTAAAATGTCAATATTATTAAGAGGGGTATGTCAAATTCTTATAAATTGGTCCATATATTCACTTTAATCGATGTGAAATTTTATCCATCAACATACCTTGGCCTGAATTTTTTTAAAAAAAAAATAATTTTAATTTTTTTTTTTTTTTTTTTTTTTTGGGTATCTTTCTATCAATTTTCTGTTGTTGAATATCTTGAACTAAGCTATAATTTATAGTAGTAATTGTCTCTAGCTTGAATTAAAATCAAATTAATTTTTATCCGTTTGAGTTGTGTGTGTCTTATGGACTTGCTGATTAAACTTATATTAATCAAAGGGAGAGCAGGAAAGCTAGAAGAATGCATTTGAACTTTCTATAACATGTTTGGCTCTGGATAAAAGCTAGCAGAAATGCTGGGTTCTTGTTTTTAATTTTTGGGCAGCATCACGCCTAATACTGCCCAAAAAGCTAAATTCTGATAATGTTTAAGCAGAGCCAAACATGCTAATTGAATGGAGAAAGTCGAGTGCTGATTTTTTGTGATAGTTTAAGCTAATTTTTAGGTGTGCTCATAGGGGAACTTTTTAGGCTTTTTTATTTTTTGCTGCATTTGATATCTTTGGAAAGCCTCTCCACAGCTGGAGCCTGCTTTTAGTTGTCATTTAGAAATATTTTGTAGAATAAGATTTTTTGTTGCATGGCATCTGAGTACTGAGTTCAGGTCGTAGTGCAGCCAACCTTTGGGTTTTCTTTTTTCTTATGGATCGTGTCAGTTGCTGAGTAGTTCTTGATCAAAGCTAAATGGTCTCATGGGCCAATAAATATCTATAATCTATCAGTTCCCTGTCTTGTATACGCGGTGCAGATTAATTTTGAAAGGATACGTACGAATTATATAAACAGAGCAGATTTTAATCCATTCAACCTGCCGGTTAACCATGAACCAGCCAACCTGGACATGGTTTTTGGATTCATCTGGTTTGGTTTTCCTCATTTTTTTTAAGGGCTAAAATCTCGCTATTTTCCAAGCTTTTTGATCTGAAGTGAAAGATTATCTTACGAAAAATGGCGGGAATCATGGAGATGTAAAAACTTACCTTCAAAATTTATAATGGGATCTCACTGTTGGCCCGACACTTGGAAGATGCGAATCAGATTCCATCTTTGTTCGCAGAAATGAGATGATAAGGAATGATGAGAAATGCCTGTGGTTTTTTATTGTCTTTTCATTTTCATTTATTTCCTTTTATTTTGTTATTATCTCTTGCTTGACTAGTAAATAAACACTTAATTTTTTGTTTGTTTACTAAGTATGATGAGAGAAATACTCCTATTAAGACGGCGGTCCGTGTCTGACACGTGTTATATCGACTCTTGACACCGAAGGGCATGTATTCAATAAGCTATGTGCTCGTCACATTTTTAATAAACATTTTAAGTTACCAACACCGATGGATAGTTTAGACATAGCCCTTAGACAAGTTCTAAATATGTCACGTACCATATTTTGTATCAAAATTCATAAAATAAAGATATAAATACGAATTTGAAAAACAACAACAACTATTATTAATAGCATATAATTAGTTATTAGAAGTTCCATAGATGAATCAGTTGTCTGGCAATGGTATGGGGATGCATTTATTCAGCGTGCACATTTGATAGAAGAATGATATGCTGATTTGCTTTTCATATGGTGCCTATAGCCTTTATATAAGGGTATCGAATATGAGTAATGCTGTATAGAACCACTCTTGTTAAAACACCGCCGTATGTGGCAACACGTGGTAGCTTGAATTAAATGAGTCACATAACTCCACATTTAATTGGACTTATCATTTTATGCCACTTAAATGCCACATAGGATGATGTTTTAGCACCAATGGTGCTATACAACATTATTCATCGAATATACTATATTTCGTTGATATATTGCATATTTCTTGACTGATTGTGAAACACTGGTGATATTATTGTACTTTCTCTTACTGATTCGATGTTTTGGTTTTGATTGTTTAAATTTGAGGTTTCAGCTCCTTGTGTTTGGTTCTTGATGCTTTGTTTATCTGATAATGACGACAGATGGCGCTGGTGGTAAGGGCACCTGGGGAAAACTACTAGATACTTTTGGTGAGTCTCGTATTGACCGGAATGATCCCAACTACGACAGTGGCGAGGTAAACTGTCTATCCAATTTAATTTATTTTTATCTACTTTGGTGTATACAGTTCACACTTTGTTCTATTTTTAATCGTCTTGACAGGAGCCATATGAGCTTGTTGGATCTACTGTCTCTGATCCGTTGGATGAATACAAGAGAGCTGTGGTTTCCGTTATTGAGGAATACTTCAACACCAGTGATGTGGAAGTTGCTGCTTCTGATCTCAAAGAACTAGGGTCAACTGAGTATCATCCTTACTTTATTAAGCGGCTTGTTTCTATGGCCATGGACAGACATGACAAAGAGAAGGAAATGGCTTCCGTTTTGCTCTCAGCTCTTTATGCTGAAGTCATCAATTCGACCCAGATAAGTCAGGGGTTTTTTATGCTTCTTGAATCTGCTGATGACCTGGCTGTGGATATTGTGGATACTGTTGATATCCTTGCTTTGTTCATTGCTCGGGCAGTGGTTGATGATATTCTGCCACCATCCTTCATTACAAAGGCCCGAAAAATTATTCCTGAAGCTTCAAAGGGATTTGAGGTATTGCGAACTGCTGAGAAAAGCTATCTGTCGGCACCACATCATGCAGAACTTGTGGAGAGGCGGTGGGGTGGCTGTACGCATCTTACCGTTGATGAAGTGAAGAAGAAGATTGCAGATCTTTTAAGGGAGTATGTTGCAAGTGGAGATACTTCTGAGGCTAGCAGGTGTATTAGGCAATTGAGTGTTCCATTTTTTCATCATGAAGTTGTGAAGAGAGCCTTGGTTCTTACTATGGAGATTCATACAGCAGAACCACTCATTATGAAGTTACTAAAGCAGGCAGCAGAGGAGGGTCTGATAAGTTCGAGTCAGATGACGAAGGGGTTTGTCCGGTTAGCTGAGAGCCTTGATGACCTTGCTCTTGATATTCCTTTGGCCAAAACCTTGTTCCAGTCCCTTGTTTCCCAGGCAATTTCAAAAGGATGGCTTGATGCATCTTTTCTAAAATCTCCAGGCGAGAATGGGGATGAACCACACAAGAATGATGAAAAGTTAGGGTGCTACAAAGAAGAGGCTGTGACAATTATTCATGAGTATTTCTTCTCGGATGATATTCCTGAACTGATTCAGAGTCTGGAAGATCTTGGGCTTCCTGAATATAATCCAATTTTTCTAAAGAAACTTATAACTCTAGCCATGGACAGGAAAAACAGAGAAAAGGAGATGGCATCTGTTTTACTCTCTGCCCTTCATATCGAGATCTTCTCAACTGAAGACATAGTCAATGGGTTTGTTATGCTTTTGGAATCTGCTGAGGATACTGCACTTGACATTTTAGATGCTTCAAATGAACTCGCGTATTTTCTGGCAAGGGCTGTTATAGACGATGTCCTTGCCCCTCTGAATTTGGACGAGATTGCCAATAGGTTGACACCAAATTGCAGCGGAAGTGAAACTGTTTGTATGGCTCGATCATTGATAGCAGCTCGTCATGCTGGGGAGAGGATCCTGAGGTGTTGGGGTGGTGGGACTGGCTGGGCTGTGGAGGATGCAAAGGACAAGGTACAGAAGCTTCTGGAAGAATATGAAAGTGGGGGCGTCGTTAGTGAAGCTTGCCAATGTATTCGAGATCTTAGTATGCCTTTCTTCAACCATGAGGTGGTGAAGAAAGCTTTGGTGATGGCGATGGAGAAGAAAAATGACAAGATGCTCCATTTGCTTCAGGAGTGCTTCAGTGAGGGGCTGATAACTATCAATCAAATGACCAAAGGTTTCAGTAGGATCAAGGATGGGCTCGAGGATCTGGCTCTTGACATTCCGAATGCTAAGGATAAATTCGAATTTTACGTGCAGCATGCCAGAGAAAGGGGCTGGCTCTTATCGTCATTTGGTTAGACAGCTTCACATGCTACACCAAGTGTGATTACATCTTGAGAATAAGCATGAATAGTTTCTCTCTCTCTATGTTGTTGCTTAAAGTCCTGAGTAACTTATCGCTGTGCATCAGAAGTTGATAGGTTTGTTGTTTTTATTCCCATCTGGTATGCTCGTTCTTTCCTACTTTCTTCTCTTCGTTGTCTGAAGAAGATTGCGATGTATAAAGTTAGGGTTTTTGGTTTGTTTTTCAATAGCATTAGATATGCCCTTCTTTTAACCGGTTTAGAAAACATAGCACGGGGATCATGTTTCCAATACCTCTGCTTAAAAGAAAAATTCCTTCCGAGGAACTTTAAGCCAGGCCAAACGTGTTCTTTTGATTTTATTTCGGTTACTTTGTGTATGGGGAGTGTGCAAGAATTAGTCCATGCTTTCTGTGGGAATTGAGGTATGAAAGCTGTGTTCTAGCCTTCCATTTCATGCTCCCTATTATGAAGGATTGATGGGTGAAAAAGTTGTTACGAATCTCCAATACAAGTTGCTGCAAAAATCAGCATACGTTGAAGAGTTCAGTTCTAAGAGACCACTAATACACTGCTTAAAGTTCTTGTAGTGGGGTCTAGCAGGCCATGTCGGATAGACCAGAACCCCTCAAGAGGGCCCATATCACCCTATTGGCCTGACTTGTGTAGCTTAAGGTAAGGCTGACAATGAGTGAAGTTGGACCAGACCTTTTGAAAGCCAGGCCCGATTCAGCGTATGCACAAGAACCTGCCAGTAGGATTTGTGCCCTTCATGGGCCAGTGGCCCCGTCTCCTATAAAATCCAGATTTTAGAGTGGGGCAGAACGAGCCTAATGGTAAATGTGCATTTATGCTTCTAGTTCTATGTATTTACACTTGAAGGATTTTGTTAGTGGGAAATGTAGCTTGGACAGTCAAAAGGCATATAGAGAACATTTTAAACCGCTCCAGACCACCAGTGTATGAAAATGGAATAAGGTTTCTGCTTTGAATTAAGCTCCTTTATCAGAAAGAATTTGACATGCTTGTTGACAGAAATTCGCATGGCGTGGGACTCGTGTGAGATCCATGTAAATTAAAAAGCCCAAAGAATAACTGCCCACCCCCTATTAAGGGGGTATGTCTGCCTCTGTGTGTGTGTTTATTTTTTATTTTTTTTTCTCCCAAAAAAATAGTTGTTTAATTCCTTTACGATCTATTTTGGTGCACTTATTTTGGGATGTCACATGAGGTTGAAATATTGCATTTTTAATATCATTTCAAAGTGTTCAAGCCTAATTTTTTTGTTCACTAAAGACATTCGAAGTGGTCAACCATAGCAAAACTTAATTAATGTTTTGAAAATATGCCAACTTTCAAAATTTATCGTTGATCATATGCTATTCGAATTCACAAATCGTCTTTATCATATAGAAGTTCGTTTCAGAAACTATATTGTTGTCATATCGATGGTCTAAATGGATATCGAAAATAGTTAAATATGCATCAAATTTACGTCTCACAAAAAGATGTCTAATTCGTCTTTTTTTTTTTAAAAAATCAATTATTTGATCAGCTTTTATTATTTTTGTACGATAAATTTTTCAATATAATTTATATCATTTTAATATGAAATTTTGAATGGAATATGATGTTAAAAATATTAGGATCGTTATGGATTAAATGTAATTTGAATTACTTTTGAATTACATTTATTTTAAAATTGAATTTCATTTACTTTTTGGATTAAACTTGGATTTTATTCGAATTCATTTACTTTCTACATTTAATTTGATTTACTCACTGTCGACTCAGTATTTGTCAAAGAAATGATAAACAAAACTATAGTAACAAAATTTATTTAATAATATTGATAACTTATTAATATTATGTTGCTTTTAAAAAATTATATTTTAATTTTTGATCCTATAGCACTAAAAGTTTGGGTTCGCCAAAGCCACCTATGTCCTGTGCCCCTGCTCAACCTAGTCCATGGAGATTTTATTTTCTTTAACATTTTCTTCAATTTTTTCACCAAAGCTAAATGGGTGCTATCGGTAAGGCCGTACGAGAGTCTGCTTATAAATTAGGATACAAAGCATGGAAAAGTACGGAAGGGGTCGAGTGTAAAATCCCATGAATACTCATTTTTATCTAGGGATGGCACTTTGAACCGTCAAAATCGAAAATCGCGGTTAACCGAACCGAATGGGGCGAAAAAAATCGAACAGATGGTGCAATGGGGCGGGTATGATTTTGATTTTAATAAACCAGTTCGTGGCGATGCAGGTATGGTATTTACGCCGTCGAACCGAAACCGAACCGATTACCCGCTAAAAAATAAAAAATTAAAAAATTAACACACACAATTGAATTGATTTGATTATTGGGTTTTATACTACTTTTCTATCTAGCCCAAAACAAAATCCCCACCATTACATCTATTTGACTCAGTCGCCCAGCCCACTTGCTATTAACTCATAATAATAGCATTAGTATGACACTATATAAATGTAAACCCTACTCTCCACAAACCATAAATGCACGCACGACTCATTTTATTATTAATTTTTTTCTATTGTGTGTAGAAAATTCTACTTCTTCATCATACTCTAGAGTTTGTGCAACATTTAGCGAGAAGGAAGCTGAAGAAGATGTACATTTTTTTTAATATTAGTTAAGACCATTCTGAATAGGTGTTATCGTTGTATTCTCTACTTACATTTCTTATTTACTATATAAGAATTAATTTTGAGTACTGATCTATGCTAGTAAGACTTGTGAGAAAGAATGAATCAAGTAACTTCAATATACAACAATTAAGAATGAAGGAAAAGTACATTTAGCGAGAAGGAAGCTGAAGAAGATGTACATTTTTTTTAATATTAGTTAAGACCATTCTGAATAGGTGTTATCGTTGTATTCTCTACTTACATTTCTTATTTACTATATAAGAATTAATTTTGAGTACTGATCTATGCTAGTAAGACTTGTGAGAAAGAATGAATCAAGTAACTTCAATATACAACAATTAAGAATGAAGGAAAAGTTTAATATTGTTATATTTATAATATTATTTGTTAAATTTGTATTTTGCAATTGAAAATTGGGATAATGTTTGTATTTTCATTTGAAATACTGTTTGATAATATTTGCATTTTCGTTTGGAATATTGTATTTTTGTTTTCATTGACTTTTTTCATAAATTATTTTTCATCAATTTGACGGATGAACCTACAAAAAATAATTTATTTTCGTGGTTAATAATAGAATCGAACCGTACCGAACCGAGATACGAAATAAACCGATTTACATGATTATGGTGCGGTTATGGTATGGTCAAAAAATTGGTGGTGCGGTTATAATTTTGACCGAACCGACCCATAATCGAACCGTTGCCAACCCTATTTTTATCCCAAAAAAATACATTAGGATACAAATAGACACCAATGCTCAGAACAAACAAAATTAGGTCAGACATTATGAAATGATTACGAATCAACAAGAAAATATGAAATGAATATAATAAAAATACATAGTGTATATAATCTTTACGAACTCGTAGAAGAAAAAAACCAACTTTAAGAAGGCCAAAATTCATCCATCTCTAGCTCCGAAGTCCAAAAAAGAAAGAAAGAAAAAAAAAAAAATCAACCTAGGGCTGAATATTGTCCGGTTCAATTCGATTTTAAAGAGAATCGAACCCAAATTTTTGGGTATTTTATAAGTGAAACTGTTAGGTCCAATTTTAATTATGGAACTATTCGGGTTCAATTCCATTTGATTCCCAAGTTTCATACAATAATTAATTTTTTTAATATTTACAAGAACGTTACATTAATTTAACTATTAATATGTTCAATTTTAATTATTACAAAACAACGTAATCCAATTCCATGATATCTTTTGTACCTCTCTTACTGAGTTCTCCATAGATTTGACTGTTAAAAATTGAAAAGAGGATGATAGTTACAATAATGAAGAGAAGCGTATCCAAACTTCTAATTCAATTTCTCCATAACGACAGAAACGACACTACGGTATAATTTGATAAAGTCGAGCTTGGGCTGAAAATTAGAAATAGGAAAATTATATTTTGAGTTTTGGCTAAATTAATTAGTTAGCAATTTTATTTAGAAAAATAAAAAAATTGGCATTAAGATAAAAATTTAGGAAAATTCGATTCTTTATCTAAAATTAAGAACTGATCTGAATTCGTCGGTTTTCGATTCAAATAATTGTTTGGATATTAATTTAAGAAGAATTGCTTGATTTGATTTGAATACTATTCAGTCGATTCGATTCTAGAGTATTGTCTTACCCTAGATCAATCTACAAAACCATGGCAAAAACAAAGAATATCATAAGAATATAACACACAATTATGCTTTTTATAAAATTTAAAGAAACACAAGGACCCTAACTGCAATAATCCCAAATTAACCCATGCAAGAACCCCTAACCCATCAATTATTGATTATTTTTGGTCTGAATCCTTCGGCCAAGCTTAAAAGTACTTATAAGCAATAAATAAATAAGCGTTTTTTTTTTTAAAGTTGCATTTAAGCTGTTTATTTTTTTCACAGTAAAAGGAAGTAAATTATCCAAATGCGTCACTGTCATAAACCCACAATAGGAAGTTTAAGTAGAATCCTACATTCTTGATTTTACCCTGTTTCTCCACCTTCAATTTGCCCCCCTTTCATCTGTACATTTCATCACCAAGCAACAGATGAAAGAAGGGTAATATAAACTATTAATCCCACTCAAAAAAAAAAAGGGGGGGGGGGGGGGGGGCAA